AAAACCGATGCCATAATCTCCTACTGCCTGGTCTCTAGCCTGCTTCTTCCCTACCTTTACATTAAAGTCTCCCATCAGTATAGTATACTGTGTTTTACCCTACTCTTTGCCGATTACACGTCTTCATAGAAGCTTTCAACTGAAGCGTCATCATGGCTGGATGTAGGCGCGAAAACCTGTATCACCTTCACCTTGTATATTTTATTCAGTTTAATTACGATACCTACCACTTTTTTATTATTGCTATAGTACTTCTCTATGTTGCCAGCTATGTTTCTATGAAATAGGAATCCCACTCCCAGTTCTCGTCTGTCAGCCAAACCCCAATGGCAAAGGACGTGCTCATTCTGGAGCACCGTATAGGCCTCATCTGTCCTCCTAACCTCACTGAGCCCCATTATATCCCATTTAACAACCTCTAGCTCCTCGAATAGTACAGCTAGACTTCCCTGACTAGGTAAGGTTCTAGCGTTAAACGTTGCCAAATTCAGGTTCCAATGGCAGCCTGTCTGAATCCAGAGATTTTGAGCACCCTCTGCTGCGTTGCAGATCTGACCGCCACCGTGGTCAGTTGCTTCGCAGCTGCTGGGGACTGAGGGCCGTGAGTTATTTGACGTATGCATGTGGGAGGTTATGGACACATACTGCACCAGGGTGGCCAATCCTTCTCTGATGAAGGAGTGCGTTCCCGGCTGTGGTTACCGGCGAGGCCGCATCCCGCGCTTCTTAATGCAGTTCCATCACCACGCGGATTTTTTTATCCGGTTGGGAACGGCATGGCGCCGGGATTTGAACCACGAACCTTTTTCATGCGAGGCGGATGCTCTAACCACTATGCCAACGTCATACCACAATCGTGTAGTCCATGGGCAGCTCCTGTCCTTCTAGTCAGGAAGAAGGACAATTCTTAGAGATTTTGCGCAGACTATCGCCTCATAAATGCCATTATAAAAAAGACGTCAACCCTTTGTCACGTATACATGAAGCCCTGGACTGCCTGCATTCCGCCTCCTCTTTTTCTTCTGTTGATCGACTTGTCTTCTGGGTATTGGAAAATTACTATGCATCCCTCATACAAGGAGAAGACGGCCTTCGTTACACCTGACGGTGTCCTTGAGTTTAACGTTACGGCTTTCGGTTTGTGCAATGCCCTAGCGACATTCGAGAGATTTGTGGATACAGTACTCCGTGAACCTAAATGAGAAATTAGCATGTGCTATTTAGATCAGGTAATGTTTACCTTTGCCATGTCTCCTTGGACAATCTTGTAATTGTTTCTAATAAACTAAAAAACAAATAAAGACGACGTTGTTATCTACGGAAAGACTATTGAAGAGCACAACCACCGCTTGTCATTTGTGTTTGATTGCATACGCGAAGCTGGACTTGTTTCAAACTCAAAAAACGTGCCATTTTCGAAAATGTGACGCTTTCGTAATAGGCTTTCCCTTGGACCAAAAAGGCTTACGACCAGACCCACAGAAGATCGTAGTAGTTCACAACTTCGTAGTGGTTCACAAGGACCTGCGAAATTTTCTGGTTCTGTGCTCATATATCCGTCGATTTATCAAAAACTTCGCGCAATTTGCCTCCCCACTGACGTACCTTCTCCATAAAGACACAACGTACTTGTGGGATGATAAATTTGAGGCTACAATTCAACAGATGAAGTTTTCATTGACTTCAGGACCCATCCTGAGGCATTTTACCCTGACTCTTTCACTGAACTGCATACTGATGCTAGTGGGCTAGGTGTTGGTGCTGTGCTGGTTCAACTGTGGAACGGCCGCCAGCACGTCGTAGCATATGACAATTCTACACTGACCAGAGCAAAGAATAACTACACTATCACCGAGCTCGAGTGCTTAGCAGTAGTTTTTGCCATTCAGAAGTTGCGAGTTCACGATAGTGACCGAACACTTCTGAATCTACCTTGACCGAACACTTCCGAACACTTCTGAAGCTAAGACATGGCTGCGAGTTCACGATAGTGACCGAACAACACTCACTATGCTGGCTTGTGGGACTGCGCGACCCGTCTAGCACGCTGGTTTGTTGGGCGTTGCGCCTCCAAGAGCACAGATTTTCTGTCACGTATAAGGGCAGACAATGTCACAGGGATACCGACAACTTATTCCGCTTTCAAGCAGTACACATCAATGCTGATTACAGTCACATTGATTTATCTTTATTTATTTATAGATACTGCGATCTTTCTTTAAGATCCTGGCAGCTTGGTACATGACTGGTGAACTCAACAAAATATAACAATGGAAAACGAACATATAATTATCTTTATAGAGGTACTTTCGAGAAAGGAAGAAAAAAGCCAGGACTTTACTATAATAAATTTCAAATTGAGCAAAGAATTTGTTTAGCACAAGTAAAAAAAAACAAAAAACACACAAAACATCTCAGCTAGACAAGAAAACGTATTACTATAGAAAGTGGGACTCAAATTGTGATAGTGAAACTTGTGTAACAGTTTTATCAGGCAGTTTGTTCCAATATACTATCGTTCTTGGAAAGAAAGAGTAAATGTAACAGTTGACACGTGTAGTGAATGGAGTAACGGCAAGTGACTGTGTGCGCCTAGTAGCTCAGCCCCTCGTATATGCAAGTTGCGACGTGTCTATCTGGTACCGACCTTTGATAAGCCGGAAAAAAGAATTTTAAACGACACACACAATTTCGATTACTTATAGCAGGAAGGCCACTAAGAGATACAAGGTTAGTGACTCAAGTACGGCCATACACACATATTGTAGATGAATCTAGTAGCTTTTTTGTGTAAGCTTTCTAATTTTGCTATGTCGGTCTTAGCTAACGAGTCCCATATAATGTCCTAGTAATGTAAAACAGGACGGACGAGTGTTTTATATGCCAACAAACGAACTGCTGGTGTGGACAATTTTATTGCACGCCTTAAGAAGAACAACTATACCTGCAATTTCCTAAAACTTTGTAAAGGTGTTTTGACCACGACAGATCACTTGTTACGTGGAAGCCTAAGTACTCATACTAAGTAGCTTCTGATAAAAGACGTTCTGGCATTTTATTGCTATAAAACACCAGTGCACTTCAGCACACACTCAGGAAAACGCATATTTCTTGCTACCGACAATATAGCTGATCCTGCTCAAACATTTGTTTTTGCCAGTACGTTCATATCTTCTGAATACCTCAAATCTATATTCTGGCTAAAATCTAACATAGCCTTGTATGGTAGGTATTCAAAAACAAAGTTTTTATTGGGCCCACATAGATTTAATTATTTAAATTTATCTTGAGAAAGCTCATTAAATAAGTCTGCAATCAATCGATTGTGTGGTAGTGATAAAATTAACATTCTCCTTGAGCTTTTATCATTGCCATATTGTCATGTTTCGTAGGATGGGTGTAATCTTGATCATTAAGACCTCAAGAGCGACTGGTCCTTCCTGGCAAAAGGGTCGCTATTATGGATTATCAGCAGTGGTTTTTTTTCTTGGCATCTATCGGAAGCTATCAAAAGTCATCCATCTCTTCTTTTTTCTTCTGAGATTGTTTTATGTCGTGTCCCCAAGGAGCACACCACTTCAAATGCCTCATTGTAGGCGAATTTCTTATATCAGAGCGTAGAGCTTGCTTATTCAGCTAAAAAAATTCAGACCACAGCTTCCCACGCTTCCATCGGAACTATTATGACAGGCGTTCCCCTTGACGAGTCAACGGACTACCCGAGATTAGCTCCGGCGTCATTTGTAGCTTCTCGTTTCATATATTGAGCGGGCATAATGCGGCGAACGTAATCGGCGATTGTATTCGGCGTGCATACTCCCAGCGTTGCGTAGATATTCTCCATTCCACATTCACACAAAAAGTTTGCTTGTTTCACCGAATATTGACAAGTCGGACAGGCTCACTGTGTTCAGGACAGTGGTGTAACGAAAAGGTGGCACACCGCCCCCTGGTCATTTTCAACTTATTCTTTTGCCTTGGCCAGTCTTGGCGTCAAGAGCGCGAATTGACAGGCGACGACATCTGTATGCTCGTCCCCCCCCCCCCCACCGAAAAATGGCTTAAGTCCGTGGTTCAGGATGTTCTCACACAATGCCGGTGCTCTATAAAAACAGGGTAGTAAATGACCAGTTAAGCCATAATCTACCAATCAACCATAATCAATCCACGGGACGCATATAGTACGAGCCCTACCGTTTTAGGAACAGGTACATTCATGTGTAAGCACACCTTCATTTCAATATCTCAGAAAGAGTTCGCATCTTTTAATCCTCTTTGATTTGTAATGCACATGCCCTGCGTCACATGCTTTGGCGTATATTTGCGACGCTTTCCTCCTAATAATAAAGCAGTTGATAATTGCGCTGTGTGCGTCCTGTCTCTTCGGGGAACGCGTGTTCAAAGCGTACCCACATCGTCGACCAGCTTAACAACCAGGAAGGTGAATACACAAAATGGCACCTTTGCGACGCATAGTAAGCGGCCTACAGACATTATCTGGCGCTCGGCTCCCACCGGTCTCTTCGATTTGGCAATGTAAAGCGTATTCTAAAAAATGGCCAGATGCTCAATCCTGCGGGTCAACTCAGGCTACAAACAACTACTACAGACAGTGCCTTCCTCAAACGACTTGGCTACCGGAGGCGTAGCTCGCATGACGTAGTCATAGCTCGCATGACGTAGCTGTTAGATATCTGAACAACATCGTGAGATGAAGGCCGTCAAAACCGTGTCGTGTTGTCTATTTGGCGTGCCAGGTGGTTTTGCGATTATTGTTCCTAGATACACTAGTGCATTTTGCATCTTAGGGTCATAAGATGGAGAAAATTTAAGGTTTTCTTTGTTGGAATAGGAAATGTGGATTATAATTCAACAAGGCAATATCAATGGGCTAGTAACATGCAGGCCCTAGTCAACTAATATGAATGAGTGCGTTTGAAAAAAATAACTGCATAAAGCCTTGCGAAAGCTTTATAATATTGTAAGTTAAAGTGCAAAGTTTACGTAATACACATTATTGCAATTTATTATCAGTAACGAGTCTTTTCCTCGCCATCACGCAATATAATGAGGGTTGGTCTACAGTCACAGAGGTGATCGTAAGTGGCTTCCGAATAGTCTTGCAGGCATGTTGCTACAGGATAAAGCGATGGCATCTTGCATTGTAGGAGTGATGTAGTCAACACCAATTTTCTCCATCAGGCGTTGCTGTGTCCGGATGGTTCGTGAGGTGGAATCTACGTGGAATACAAGAAAATGCCGAGCACAGGATTGAGAAAGTGACTCGTCGAGTGGAAGAGCTGAAACATACGTACCCCTATCACAGCAAGTGCACCTCATGCTTAGCCTTGAATGTTGTCATAATTGTATTTCTGTGGTAATGCATACTTACGTTACTAAAAACTGCCGTAAGTAAGGAAGCGGCCACTAGGAAAAGATAGCTGAATGAACAAAACGTAACGAACAGATAATAGTCGCGTGGTGTAATAAAAATCACCGTTATATACCTGTATTAGTCCACTGCAGGATGAAGATCTCGCTGAAGGACCTTCAGTTTACCCGATTAAGTGCGAGTCAATTCGATTATATCCATATGAACTTCGTAATTTCGTTCCTCCACCAAACGTTTCCTCACTGTTTTCGAAGCATGACTAAGAAGTTTGTAATTCCTGTTGCTGGCCACCGGCTGTCTGTTTTACGCATTACGCGACCAGTACGTGTGGTGTACTTACTCGAGAACCCTATAAATTTTATTCAAAACTTACCAGCAAAACAAGGTTGCGTTTGCAACGGTGATAGAACAAACGCGAACAAATGAGCCCAAATATACGCCTAAGTCATAATCAACACAATGTTTTCTAAAATATACAAAATACATTGCATATATTTGAAATAACTGATGACAGAGTCAATACTATGTTAACGTTTCATGTAATTACAATGAAACAGCACTTTTTCTTGTTGACCAATTTTGTGAAACTGTCCAGAAATGCTAGCAATGACGTGTCCAAAGCACCTGTGAACGTATTCTATTAGTTTGGTTTGGGAAAACTATATTGTGAAAATCTGAAGGCGCGTGCCCTGGCAGACGGTGAGCTGCTTTCACGACGGGACAGTAAGGCCGAGGTCTAGCGCCACACCGTGAGTTGTCTGGACTAGAGTGGTGATGTTATGTCCGTACTCCGCTGAGCGGAGTCCTACTTTCTGGACGATGCTCTATCAGTGCTGCGTACCGAAGGGAACTCCCAGAGCATGTGATGTAAGATGGCTAAACTACCACATTTTTGCATGAGTTTGTTAAATACACCTTAGGGTAAAGCTTGTGGAAAAATGCAGGGTTAGGGTACGTTTCTGTTTGAAGTAATAGCAATGTAAGTGCCTGCACTCTATTCAGCTTTCTCGGTGGAGGTGAAAAGATTTTTTCTCCATAGTGACATATTGGGCAATTTTATTGTATGTAGTTGGCGGATCCCTGTTTACAAAACCTCCAGTTCCAAAACCTCCAAAGGCCCTCCATGGCCATGGACAGGTAACCCTCACGCCCTCGAGTGAGCGAACTCATTTAGATTGCTAATCTCAATCTCTCCGTCCATGTTTCCCCTGTGGGCCGGGAACCATGTAAGATCCTGTGTTGTAAGCAACTTCTCACCGAGTATGTTTGGGGCCTCTTTCCACACAGCTCCAACACTGAAGGCACGAATAGTAGCTCTAGAGTCACTAAATATATGTTCATGACGCTGATCTAAAGAAGTCAACGCAATGGCAACCTGCTCAGCTGCATTGACAGTTTTGGCGCATTTCGACGCCGCGATAATTGTAACCCCTTTGTGGTTGATTGCGACTATCTTAAATCGGTCTCTCTGGTCATCATATTGCGCTACGTCTACGAAACAGGCTTCCCCGTCGAGATCCGTAACTTGGCGGAGAAGGGCACAAGCGCGTGCTTTCCTCCTTCCAACATTTCATTGGTAATGCATGTTCCGTGGAGCAGCCAAGAAAATGATGTTCTCCTTCTGATTCCTAGTCAACCCTTAGTACAGAACTTTAATCTGAGCTGGTGGAATACTCATATCCGTGAGAATTATCCTCCCCGCTTTTGAGGCAGACAGCCTATTTTCCTGCGTTCTTTCTGCCAGCCTAACGGTCGACAGCTCGTCTTCACCGGGTTAAAGAGGAGACGCTCAGACTTTTCCGGAAAGCAGGGAAGGCCTGTGTCCTCCAGAAAACTGTCGGTAATGTCGATGGCTTCTTGCAGGGCAGCCTCTACAGTGCCATCACTTCCTCCTCTACACTAAATGGTGATATCATCAGCATAAGTTGTGTGACGAACATCTGAAATTCCAGAAAGCTGATTTGAGAGACCAACCTCGCCGATGTTAAAAAGTAAAAGTAATAGAACAGATCCCTGTGGAGTGCTTCTATACCAGAGCACTTCCACATCAGATTCTAGATCGCCAACTTTAAGTATGGTTTTCGACTACTCAGGAAGGATCTGACAAACACATGAAATGAGGAACTTAGGTTGAGACTAGAGATCGCATCTAAAATAGAATCATGACGGGCATTATCAAACGCTTTTTTATATTCAAGTCTAGAATCGCACTGGTGTCTCTGGTATGATTATTTAAAATTCGAGTCTTAACAATTTTCATAGCATCCTGCGTAGATAGACCTGGCCTAAAGCCAATGTACTCCAGTGAAAATAGCATTAGGCTGGGCAAAATTGGGGCACGTGCATAATAATAAACAGCACAAATATAATTCAAAAAATAAGAACTACATAGGACAAGTGCTGCTCTTCTTTAATAAACAAGGCTGTGTTGAACTCTAGTGGTATGCGCTTTAAAATTTATCAGTGGATAGTGTTCAATTGTGCTCTCACATTATTAGAAAGCTGCATCTGGCCGGGACACTGTGGTGAAAAAAAAGTATTCGTCAATTTGCCTGGCCTATAATATTGTTACGTTTGAAAAAGACCCGTAGAGGTTGAAAGGGGCCGTTTATTACGTCGTGAGGGGCAGCTCAGAAGCGGCCTACTGGTTAGAGATCCTCCTTATCTTTTTCTTCCTTTTTCGCTCCGGGCGACAAGTGCGTCCACCGTATACGCTTCGTTGTCTTCGTGCATGTGCGCAACATTCCTCTCCGAGCAGACGAAGGCCGCCGGACGAGTCAGTCGAGTTGTCGTGGCGTGTACAGTTTCAGGCGGACAACATGAATCACTTGAGTTTTAGCAGCTCGTCGACCACTCGCCGTGAGACGAGCTATTACATAGTTGACCTCTGTAAGTCTGTTGACAATGACAAAAGGTCCATCATAAGTGGCCAATAACCCGCGCTTGCACATTGGAGTCCACAACCCCACCAGATCACCACGGCGATAAATCACTGGTTGATAGTGAATGTCATAGCGTGCTTTCGCTTTGTCCTGCGATGCCAATGTGCACAGTTGAGCTATGCGACGCGTCTTTTCGGCGAAGCAGATAGTCTCGGCGACAGTGACGTTGTCGTGATCACAGAAAGGTAAGATTGTGTCGATTGTATGGCGTGGCGAACGTGCATAATGCAAAAAGAAATGGCTATAACCTGTAATCTCATGCTTCGCGGTGTTGAACGCGTAAGCAATGAACGGAAGGACGTCATCCCAGTTCTTGGGGTTGCATAAAACATACATAGACAACATGTTCATAATGGTGTGGTTGGTACACTATGTCAGCCCATCAGTTCGGGGGTGGTATGGTGTCAAGTGACGCAGGCGGGATTCACACAAACGGAGTAGCTCCTCCACGACATCCGCTGTGAATTGTCGTCCACGATTGCTGATATACAGGCGAGATGGGCCATGTCGGAGGATGACGTACTGTAGCAAAAACGACGAGACTTCACTGGCAGTTGCGGAGGGGACGGCCGCCGTCTCCCAGTAGCGTGTGTGGTAGTCGACGAAAACAATTATCCATCAGTTGCCCTTAGCCGATTTTGGAAAGGGCCCCAGAAAGTCAATCCCGACTTGTTCGCAAGGGACGCTTGGAGTTGGCATCGGCTGTAGAAGACCAGCTGGACCAGTTGATGAACGTTTGTGACGCTGAAATCGCATGCAGGTTGCCACATTACTCTTAACGAACTTCTGCATACCAGGTCAATAAAAACGCTTTTTAGTCCGGTGAAGCGTCCGCACCAAACCTAAATGTACAGATGTAGGGTCTTCGTGCATGACACTCATAAGAACTGTTCGCAGGCTCTCCGAGACCACTAGAAGGAAACGCGTGCCACTGCTGGAGAGGTTTATTTTGAACAACAGTCCATCACGCATACAGAAACAGCGTGCAGTAGCGAAAGCGGGTGCATCGGCGAATAGTGGTGCTAGTTTAGCGTCTTTCCGCTGTTCTGCTCTGAAGCTCGGGTACTCCAGGAATGTAGGAGACACAGACGCTACAAGCTGGTCAAGGTCATTAGATTCACAGTCCGCAGTGCTGTGTGGCATACGTGAAAGACAGTCCGCGTCAGCATGTCGACGACCACTCTTGTAAGCGACGGCAAAACTGTATTCTTGTAGCCGGAGTGCCCAGCGCGCAAGGCAGCCAGAAGGGTCACGAAGGTTGACAAGCCAACACAACGAGTGGTGGTCGGTTACGACTGTGAATGGGCTTCCGTACATGTAAGACCTAAACTGCTGAATTGCTAATATTACCGCCAGGCATTCTTGTTCCGTGGCAGTGTAGTTTCGTTCCGGCCTGCTTAGGGAGTGACCTGCGTGTGCGATGACGTGTTCGCGGTCACCGTAACGTTGTACTAGAACGGCTCCAATACCTATGCCGCTAGCATTCATATGAAGCTCTGTCGGAGCAGTAGGGCTGAAGTGCTGAAGGACGGGTCGTGACGTCAGCAAAAACTGCAATTGACGGAATAAAGAATCGCACTCCGGAGTCCACTCAAAGGAACTGTCCTTTTTTAAGAGGCATGGGAGAGGATACGCAACGTCGGCAAACTTCGGAATAAAGCGGTGGAAGTACGAACAAAGCCCCAGGAAACTACGAAGCTCCTTGACGGAACTGGGTGCATTGAACGCCTCAACTGCTGCTGTCTTCTGGGGGTCAGGACGGATGCCACCCTTGTCAACGAGATGCCCGAGCACAAGCGTCTGGCGGTCTCCGAAGTGGCATTTGTTCGAGTTTAACACAAGGCCAGCGTTTCTAATGCTGTTCAAAACAGTATCCAGACGAGAGTTGTGTTCACTGAACGTG